CAATGGCAAATCGATTTAAGTCCTCCCAGTTTACATGAAGTTGAGAAAGCTATAGGAAATCTAAGGAGAGGTAGAGCGGCAGGTCCTGATAGGCTTACCCCTGAGATGTTTAAGGATGGTGGTCCAGTTTTAACGGTTAAACTGACCGAGATCCTAGGTAGAATCTGGGAAATGGACGAAATCCCATCTGACTGGTCTCAGTCGCTAATTGTCCCAATCTACAAGAAAGGACAGAAGTCCTCTTGTGACAATCACAGGGGAATAAGTTTAACTAATATAGTTTCTAAATTGTTAGCCTCGATTATACTTAGACGTCTAACTAGAGCTCGCGAAGAGCAGACTCGAGAAAACCAGGCTGGTTTTCGACCTGGACGTGGTTGTATAGACCACATCTTCACACTACGACAGGTCTTGGAACACACACACATTTAGACGTTCGACAATAGTCGTATTCCTGGACCTTAAGGCGGCATTCGACTCAGTGGATCGTGAGGTTCTGTGGCAGTGTCTGTCATTGAAAGGTGTACCAAAGAAGTACATTAACCTTATACAAGCACTCTACTCGAACACCACTGGTCGGGTGAGAGCATATGGCGAACTGTCATCTGAATTCTCTACATCAAGTGGTGTCCGTCAGGGCTGTCCACTCTCTCCATTCTTGTTCAACTTTGTCGTAGACATCCTCTTAGAGTTAACATTAAGCTCGTCAGATTTTTCAGGGGTTGACCTTCTACCAGGAAAGTCGCTTACTGATCTAGAATATGCCGATGACATAGTTCTATTCGGTGAAGACGCTGACAAAATGCAGAGTCTTCTGACTACCATAAGCAACAATGCAAGCATGTTCGGGATGCGGTTTTCCCCCTCGAAATGCAAAATGTTGCTTCAAGACTGGGTTGCTTCGGCACCTGAACTAGTGATAGGGAGTGAAGTAGTCGAGCGTGTAGATCACTTCACTTATCTGGGGAGTCTCATCAGTGCTGACGGTCTGGTGACTGACGAAATCTCAGCTCGGATACAGAAGGCTCGATTGGCTTTTGCCAACCTTCGTCACTTATGGCGTAGGCGTGATATCCGTTCGCTAACCAAAGGGCGGGTGTACTGCGCAGCAGTTCGTTCCGTTCTCTTATATGGCTGTGAAACATGGCCGTTAAGAGTAGAAGATGTTCGTAGGTTACTAGTATTCGATCATAGATGTTTAAGAAGCATTGCTCGTATATCATGGGACAGCCGAGTAAGCAATGCTGTCGTTAGGAAACGAGTACTAGGTAAGGATGGCAGATCAATCGATGAAGTGGTGAAACTTCATCAGTTGAGGTGGCTGGGACATGTGTTACGTATGCCTAACCACCGACTGCCTCGACGAGCTATGTTTTGTGGTGTAGGAGTAGGTTGGAAGAAAGCTAGGGGCGGCCAGACCAAAACATGGCAGAAATCCATGAAGTCACTGACAAGTGGACTGAGTCATGTTGGTAGATGTAGACTACCTGGTTGGGGTCCGCGAGACGAAAGTCATCAATGGTTAGAGACCTTGAACGACATGGCTCAAAATCGTTTGCAATGGCGCAGGTGCATCCACTCTTTGAGCTCTCTCAAATCCTAATCTTGTGGATTCGTCAGCACATCTACCCTTGTCTTTCTAACCTTATCTCACTGAATTATATTTCTTGAATAATATCTTAAACCCTAGTCTTCTTTATTATAACATTAATACCTCTACCATCTTTATCACTATGGGATTTGATTTGACATTTGCGTCTCTGTGTTAATAATGTGGTATGGCAACATGAACTTATGTACATACGTACGAAGTTCTACGTTGCAACTGACTGACTGACTGACTGCGTGGTAGCAATCTACCGTCGACAATATACTGGTAACTAATGTGCCCGATATGCATTTGTACACTCTAGAATTAGTTTCTAAGCCCCAACTGTGGGTCCATGTAATTAATTTGTCCAGGATAGCTTGGAGATCACGATGATTAGCCTAACTACTTACTATTATTATTATTATCTAAGTTTTACCATCATCATTTGCCAATAACGGTGTCGACTAGTTGATTGGTCTCGGTAATTCATTAACATATAGATGCTTTTGTTTATAATTTATTTCATTTCTGTATGATTTTACTTCCGTCTTTTTTTTAACAGACTGTTAGTGAACCTTCTGTTGTAGCTATGGATATTGATCAAACTCCAACTAAAGTTACAGAAGATTCAAAATTATCTTCTAGTTCTGGTACATTGGCAGCTGCAGCAGCGGCAGCTTTCAGCTCGTCATCTGTTCCTACATCAGCTGATTTAGATGTGATGTATGATGCTGAATTTTTAGAATCAGTTTTACAAAGTTTACCTGGTGTAGATACACAAAATGAAGATGTTCGTAAAGCTATAAATGCTCTCACAAAATCTCAATCACAAGGAAATTCAAGTAAAGATGATGATGACAAAAAGGATGATAAACACGAATAATTAAAGAAGAACATCATGTGTACTAGTTAAATAATTTTCAACTTTGATTGTTTTGATTCTTCATTTTTTGACAATTTGAAAAATATAATACACAATTGTTTCATTTTGTTCTGTTTTTCGTTTTTCAACAAAATATAAATTCTGTTTCAGAAATTAATTTACATTAGTTACATCTTGTCATTTCACATTTGTCTATCAGTCAGTCAGTCAGTTGCAACGTAGAACTTCGCACGTATGTACACCAGTTCATGTCACTGCCATACTACACATTAGCACAGAGACGCGAATGTCAAATCGAATTCAAGAGTGATAGTAGAGATAATCGAGGTATTAATGGTAATGAAGAAGACTAGGGTTCGAAGATATTATTCAAGAAGTATAATTCAATGAGGAAAGGTTAGAAAGACAAAGGTAGAGGTGTTGACGAATCCAGAAGATTAGGATTTGAGAGAGTACAACGAATGAATGCACTTGCGACATTGCAAACGATTTTGAGCCATGTCGTTGTTCAAGGTCTCTAACTATTGGTGACTATCGTCTCGCGGACCCCAACCAGGTAGTCTACATCTACCAACATGACTCAGTCCACTTGTCAGTGACTTCATGGATTTCTGCCATGTTTTGGTTTGGCCGCCCCTAGCTTTCTTCCAAACTAGTCCTACACCACAAAACATGGCTCGCTTCATTTGTCTATCCACCTAAGCGTCTTTCATCTTTTTTTTCTGTTTTCATTAGCGTTTACTATCTACCGGTTACTAGTTATCTGCATTAAATATTTAAAATATCTGTCCTAATGCTGATGTGGTATGGCAAACTGAACTGGATGTACTTACGTACGAAATTCTGTGTTGTATCTGTCTGTATCCTAATGTGTATTTTAATGTTGAATTCGTGTTGACTGTTACATTTATGATCAGTCTATAATCAACCTTCAAACACAAGCTGCTTCTTAGTCTTACTCATAAATTAGATGTCGGATGTACATTTACAAAAATCACCAAGTAATAATTCTGTTCTAGACTTCTAGATCTTAAAGATTATATCTTTAAGTAGATGAATTGAGCCCTGAAGTTTGTTTAGTAAACTCTGACAAACAGTGCTCACTGTTTCAATCTTGATTACTGCTTGTCGATATCTATTCAAATGTTTTGCCACTTAATTTTCTCTTACATTATAAATTACTTCTCTTGATTGTTTTCGAAGCATTGCTAGTGCATTTTGGAGCTACTGAGTTAAGTTAATTCTTGAGTTAGAATTAGTGTGTTAGGTAAGGATGACAAATCAGTTGATATAGTAGTGAATCTTCATCAACTAAAGCAGTTGGCCATATACAGCATATCGACGGGCAACGTCCAAAGCTAGACTAGGTTGGGAGAAAGCTAGGGGACTGCCGAACCGAGACAGGACACTAGTCCATGAAATCATTGACCGTTGGACTAAAGCATGTTAGTAGGTGTGATCTACTTGATCTGGGTCTGCGTGACATTCATAACCAGTGACAGAAAACTGAGTGACGGTTCCAATTCGTCTACAATGGTGCAGGTACATCCATTCTTCCCCAAATTCTACGCTGAATTACTGATGACCTATTTTTAAAGTTATTTCACTGGTCTGTATTTTTCTTGAATCATACCTTCGATCCCTTGTATTATCACTAGGTCTACTTCTATGGAATTTAAATTGACGATTCGATCTCTGTGCTAATGTGGTATGGCAACTTGAACTGATGTAAGTACGTACCAAGTTCTGCGTTGCGAATATCTGACTGACAAATTGCAGTTATATGACTGTTCCGTAGTTTTCGATTACAAATGACCTATTTATGTAAAGATCGCAACTTCCTATTTATGATGGGTTGTGATCGAATACTTGATGTTAATTATTGTGAGTTTTAAAGTCATAGAATAATCGGAGAGATTTAGAACAAAAATACTAAGCGTAGGTTCGCTGGCGTCAAGATAATCATCCGCCATAACACTCAAAATGGTCATTTGTGTTATCTAGCCTGGAGTGGACTCAATAACCGATGATCCATTTAAATGGTCATATCATAACTATGTTTCTGTTTCCAACCTCTAAGCCTTATGTCTCTTCTACATCCAAACTTCACCTCATATGTTAGCATGTAGCAAATTGTTCTAGCTTAAAACAGTCCGATTAAGCTTCGTTGAACTCTGCCAGGAATTCTTCTGGGGTGATTGCCGGTCCCGAGCCTAACTAAAAATTAAGGAGAGTTTGGCATGGAGTTGGCGACCCCACCTCGTAGAGGTCGAGTTCGCTAAATATACCCTAACCAGAAAAACAATTTTAACTCTGGTCTGGTAGTTATGATGCCCTCATTCGGAAGAATCATAACGTCTCATGATGAAAGCTGAGTTCCACCGCAAGTCACGAGGTCAATGGCCCGTCTGACAATCAGAGCATTAATACATTTACGTACATAGAATGTCTGAACAATATGGGAAACCATATGAAGTATTCAAGTTGCTGCTGAAATGACCAGATACAACCTGGTGGTACTTGAAATTCTCAAAACACATTGCACGCACGTTAGACAAAAAGACTAGCTACAGGCGAGATGACGTTATACTCCACCCAAGGTTGGAGAATGCTGTTTGGTAGCCTATGCTGCATTAGGGGTAACAGATCTAAGTAAGCTTACTGTACTTAATAAAATGTGTAAATGGAAATCACTTAAGTAGTCCGTTCAATCTCTACTTAGTAGTTCAAATGTGTGGTGTATTTAAAGCTCCCTAGTACCGTTCTGTGTGGTGTTATAGGCAGATGCTACTGAAGAATTAAAAAGATGTAAAACAACTATCCAGTGCTTTTGAAATCATCAATCAATCATTGTTAGACCACCACCATTAGAAACCTGGAAGCATTGGACGGCCGTTTCGTCCTGGTATGGGACTCATCAGCAGTACGCATCCACGGCTCCTGTACATCGCAGGATTTGAACCCGGGACCTTCGGTATTGTTCACGGACGCCTAACCATCGGACCACTGGGCACGCATCCAACAGTGGTAATGTCTAACTCTGGTTGATGATTTCAAATGTGTAGAAACACACATCTCCAAAACTCTAACTGAAAATATCGTAACATGTGCTCGATAGTGACTAGCTTCATGAGGAAATTCCCGGAGTTCTAGAGAGAAGACGTGACCAATGGAGTTTAACCCTGTCGGGTGTAGGCAGTAACTACCAACGACAAATGGGTGAGGTCGCACAAAATCCGTAGATCAATCGGATTGACACCGTTGGATGCCGGCCCAGTAGTCCGATGGTTAGGCGTTCGCGCACAATATCGAAGGTCCCGGGTTCAAGTCCTCCGAGGTGTAGGAGTCCAGTCCCATACCAGGACGAAACAGCCGTCTTTCAGTGCTTCTAGGTTTCTAATGGTGGTCTAACAATGATTGATTGATGATTTCAAATGTGTAGAAACACAAAACTCTAAGTGAAAATATCCAATGAGTTTCTGTATTTCAATATTTAAAGCTACTTTACAATGTAATTCTATGTTGGATCGCTATTTTGTACAACATGGCTGATAAATTTCAACTGAACATAGTATGTTGTTTTCATTTGGTAAAACAAACAAAGGAGATTTCAAGAAGAAGATTTGTGTCTAGTAATCTTATATTCTGTGAAATATTGTTAGCGAATCTAATATCTTACCTTATTTTTAGGGCTACCTAGATGAACTGGTGAAACTTCATCAGTTGAGTTGGTTGGGACATGTGTTACGAATGCCTAACCACCGACTGCCTCGACGAGCTATGTTTTGTGGTGTAAGAGTAGGTTGGAAGAAAGTTAAGGGCGGCCGAACCAAAACATGTCACAAATCCATGAAGTCACTGACAAATGGACTGAGTCATGTTAGTAGATGTAGGCTATCTGGTTGGGGTCCGCGAGACGAAAGTCACCAATGGTTAGAGACCCTGAATGACATGGCTTAAAATCGTTTGCAATGGCGCCGGTGCATTTATTCTTTCAAATCCTAATCTGGATTCGTCAGCACTTCTATCTTTGTCTTTCATATCACTGAATTATACTTCTTGAATAATATCTTCAAACCCTAGTCTTCTTCATTACCATTAATATCTCTACTATCTCCACTATCACTATGTGATTTATTTGACATTTGCGTCTCTCTGTGCTAATATGTAGTATGGCAGTGACATGAACTGATGTACTTGCGTACATACGAAGTTCTTCGTTGCAACTGACTGACTGACTAACTTATAAGGTTACCCCATTCTTATTAATAACAAAAGAAAATAATAAATGTGTGCTTTTTTTTAAAATTACAAACAAATAGAAATTACATTAATACAACTTTATCTAAAAAAAGTAAATAATTCTGGTGAGAATAAAGTTTGAAAAATTAAATCAAAATCGAATCATGTGTGTGTGTTTTGTATTTTTTTTTTTCAATTTTCAATCATCAATAGATATACAAATTTGTTTTCTCAATTTAGAATTATTGCATATTATGACATTTAAATTTTGTTTTATTGATTGATATGAATTTGAAAAAAAAAACAAGTTAAAAAATGAAACAAGCTTTTTGTTTTTGGTTGGGTGAAGAAAAAATAACTCATCGATAAATACACAGTTTTTAAAGTGCTGCACGACATCGATTTTTCGGATTCATTGGTGTTCCTACTGGACAGTTGAAAGTATCCGAGAAATCAGGTAATTCATTCATGATATGATTAACTCTGTGATACGAGGAAAATGAAATAGAAAGCATAATTTTAAACATAATGGTTATTAGATGATATTATTGACAAGTCAAGTAATCACATAAGTGTGGGTTGTGTAATGTTTTTTAATTAGTCAACTATACATCAGTAGTAGAGAATATCTAAGTCTATATTACTTAACAGTTTCTAAACAATATGGGAGTTTTAAGGAAAAGTGTTTCTTCAGTTTACTGGCGCTTTTTCAACTGTAATATCGATTGAAGTTATACGGAATCATAATTCTGAACTACATGTTGTTATTGAATGTGACATCTTATGAAATCAATTATTCACTGAAAATTTTTCAAGACACTATATATATTATATTATCAGGCAGAGTTTTGGAGGTTTGTGTTTTTACACATTTGAAATCATCAATCAATCATTGTTAGACCACCATTAGAAACCTGGAAACACTGAAAGACGGCCGTTTCGTCCTGGTATGCGACTCATCAAAGGCAGTGCGCATCCACGACTCCTGCACCTCGCTGGATTCAAACCCGGGACTTTTGGTATAGTGCGTGTTGTGTGTGTGTTGTGTTCTCCGTAGATCAATCAGAGTTAGACATTAACACCGTTAGATGCCGGCCTAGTGGTCAGATGGTTAGGCGTTTGCGCACAATACCGAAGGTGCTGGGTTCGAATCCTAGGGGGTGCAGGAGTCGTGGATGCGCACTGTCACTGATGAGTCTAATACCAGGGCGAAACGGCTGTCTTTCAGTGCTTCCAGGTTTCTAATGTTGGTTTCACAATGATTGATTGATGATTTCAAATGCGTGAAAACACAAACCTCCAAAACTCTGCCCGAAAATACAGTACATTTTATCGTCTGAATAATTTTATGAATATGACTCGGTATCACAGAAATGAAAAATTTCTATTTTTCAAGAGAAACATTTACTAATATCCATTGTAAAGATGTCTAAAATCATTAGAAATTCAGTAGTAGTATATTAGAATGACACCAAAATAATATGATTAGCCTCTATCGATGATTATTAAATTCAACTTTCTTCATAAAACTGATATTTTTTGAATTACTTACAAAACTTCATATGGTGGTTTTGGTGTTTTTATAATCATTTGAAAATATTCATCCCATATATCCATATTATGACAAAATGTCTGAAAAAAGGAAGATAAATAAATTATGTATTCAATATTCAAATATCTCATGATAAATTTTTGTTTTAAATAGTGGTAAATATTTCAAAGTTCTTTAAATTACTTTATTGTTACGCCTGCACATGCACATAAACACGTCAACTTGATTTTCTTGAACTATTTTAAGTTTACCTAGTCGGAAAACGAGAGCGAGGATCCGGCGACATGACATGCTACTCAAATCCGATTATCCCAGCTCCCCAAATATCGAGTAAAAACAAGAAGAGTTGATATGAAGTAGAACCTATATTCTACAAGCATCCAGAAAGTTCGAGGTCCGAGTCCAGAAGAGAATCAGGATGCCGGACTAGAGATCCGGGACCGGATCCTGGTCATAAAACGTTACACATAATGCGTATTTATACATTTTGGTCAAATAGGGAACAGCATCAAAGTCTTTGACATTGACAGTTAAGACGACCAATAGGAAGCAACATTTGAAGTGACATTGATAGTCAGGACAACCAATAAGAAACAACATCGGAGCATGTGACATTGATATCAATAGGAATAGATCAATAATTCTCTTAGGATATTGGATGAATATCCTAACATTTATAGTCATCATAACTTAAATTTTGAACTAATCCTAACTACCTAGACATTGAACAAGTCTTTCGTCTTATTAGTATGAGGCTTCTTAACAGTTAGCATCCATGATCTTGCTAGGAATTGGAACTAGTCAATTAAAGGTAGATATATGTTCAATTAGATGCCAGATCAGTTTGTTATGCAGGTTAAACGCTAGTCACCAGATTGAAAATTCTAGGTTCGACCGGTGCTGGGGTCATGAATGTACATTGTTGAAGAATATCATATAAAAATGAAATAGCTGTTCATTGCTTTCTAGTTTCTGAATGTTTGTCAGACTAAGACCGATCTCTGAGGTAAACTATGAAAACTCAGTTTTAGGTAGTAGAACAGAACCAATCGTATAAATTAACATTTTACCGGTTATATAGGATAGATAGAATGTGGTTAGTGATAGAATCCACGGTATGCATTTCATCCTGAAGTGAACATCAAATTTAATATTCAGGTACATCTAACTGACGAGTCCCAATTAAGGCGAAACGAGCATCCTGGATTCCAGTGATTGTCAAATTCGATTTATTCTACATAAACGTGTGTGTTGTAATGGTTTTATTGAGGCAATCCGCATAGGATGCCCATATATCAACCGAGAGTAATCAAATTTCGGTCAAAATACTAAAAATGAGATGAATCAAACCATTTCAAAATTGAATTAAAATTTTTATGATTACTCACTTGTGCATATGTCAAATAAAATAATTGTTTAGGATTTAATGTAACCCCAGGTAAATATAATAAATTATTGTCATCTGGTGAACTATTGATCCAGTCTTCAAATGCCTATTGGAAAAGTAAAATTTCAAAGAGAGATTGTGTTAATTGGACTTGAAGCTTAGTATTCTTTAAACCAAAAAGAAATGATATTATACAGTAATGTAACTGTCTAGCTTTAGTTGTTTCGAGTCTGTTACTTAATAATATATTTTGATAGAACACAGTGAGAAGACGTAACTGATCTGAAAAATAGTGTGATGTATTTGTGCTATACATATACCACCATAAACCTCAAAATTCGTGTTCTTCAACATTTCTATACAATGTTTTGGAGGCTGTCTTGATGTCAATCTTATGCCCTGTGTTTTGCGATCGATCAACATGGTTTACTATTTCCAACGCTAATCGGCTCATCTGACGTTAACTGAATTTGAAGCCCTTGATTGCAAAGTCCGATTAATAATAAATATCTTGAGATATTGGTAATGGATCCTAGTTTCACTTTGATACGTGGATAAATTTACTTTCTCTCATCTAACCTCAACTACTCTGAAAGACGAATCTTTGTAATGAAGATTTATTTGATTAAAACTGGAGAAGGTTGATGTATGCAAGCAACACGCGTAAAAAATGAACTGACAATCATCTTGATGTTAAGGTTTAAGGCTATCGGTAAAATAGAGTCTGTCAAATTTGTATCAATGTAAATCAAATCCTGTGTGAAGCTTGAAAGTAATTTGACATTTTCAAAATGAAAATGTTAAGAGAATCAGCACTGAAAGATCGTTCTGTAGATATAACCACACCAAAAGCGAGATTAATCAGTTTGGTTATTAGATAAACAAATAATAGAAAGTCAACAGGACCAGAAAGTACATTATCTGTGGCTCTGAAATCATACATAGAAGTAACTGAAAACAGGCTTTACTTTCTCTTCAGAAAAACTTAGGGAGAATATGTACGAACAGATAGGAAAATACGACGCCCTCATTAACATACCGAAGAAAGGAGGACTTAACAAGTGTCAAAGGTTTTCAATAAGGGCTTGCTTTTAAGTGAATGAAACTTCAGTGGATGCCCAATCTTGAGATTAGCAGGCTAGGATCGATCGTGTTCCGACCAAATCGCAACATTCTGGATGAACGGAACTCGTCACTGTCCACTAACCACGTTGAAAATGGGCAATCAATTGAAAGTATGGCCAGGAAAACATTATGGAAGCTTCTTCAACGTTACGGTGTACCTGAGAAGGTAGTGAACGTCATATGGTATTCTTACGATTGACTACACTTCAGAGTCATATAGGGTAGCTGACTGGCTCATTTCAAGTAAAGATCGGTGTCAGGCAAGGTTGCTTACTATCGTCGTTTCAGTGGACAGCTGGGATGCAATTGGAAAATCTAGGCTTTTGCAGATGATCTGCCTCTTGTATCGCACACGCAGCAACAAATCCAAGAGAAGACGACCTGTGTATCAGCAGTCTCAGAAGCAGTAGGTTTCAACATACACAAGAGAAAAAGAAAGATTCTCCGATACCACACAACATGCACCAACATAATCATACTTAACGGAGAAGCTTTAGAAAAAACTCTACGTATCTGGTGAGCATAATTGATGAGCACGATGGATTTGATGCTGATGTGAAGGCATGGATTGCCAAAGTAGTGGCAGCTTTTCTACATTGGAAGAACCTGTGTGACTCTAAACAACTATCGACAAACACAATTTTCAATATAAATGTTAAAACAGTTTTATTGCATAGAGTGGAAACTTAGAAAACTAAAAAATCCATCATCCGATAGATACGACAGTCTATCTCCAGTTTTCCACACAAGATACTGCGAATCCATTGGTTAGACACCATCAGCTACAAAGTACTTTGATAGAGAACAAACCAGCTTCTAGATGAAAAGCAGATTAGAAAAAATTCCTGAAAATTCATCTTAAATACATCGTTGAAATCACAAAACTGCATTAGTAGGTTAGCCCTTAAAGCCTACCAAAGAAGGCATTGTTCCACGAATTGACGGCCGAAAGGCAACAGCACTTGGCAATTAGTGAGAAGAACAGCCGAGAATAGAGTGGGTCGGAAATTGCTGGTCAGTGGCCTATGCTTAGCGTGGGGTTGACAGGAGTAAGAACGTAACTGATTTCTGTATGAGAGCTGATGATATCGAAAGACTGAATAATTTGAGATTCAGATCTGCAACCTATTGAGTGTGAATTTTATTTCTTAACCGTTATGATGTGACTTTTTGACTTTATTCAATTCGACAAAATGATGTAGTCAGAAAGACTGGTGTTATGAGTTAGATGTTATTATGAAATATATTAGTGATCAGTTGATTTTTTTATTTAGTAAAGTCATTCTAATTAAATTTGCTTATGTAATAGCGTTGTATTGAAAAAAATGTTATTGAAATTTAAAAGATACTTACAGATCGAGCAATGTCTAATCCAGAGGCTTCATGAATGGTTGCACGTGTCACTTTCTTGATATCCTTAGTCACTGATGCCATAACCTGTTGAATGGATAAGTTTTAATTAGAATAAAACAAACTGTGTCACATTACTATTATTATTATGAAACTTATTTTCAGTAATTTCTTTATCATAGTAGTGTTTTATTGCCTGATTCTTAGTCAATCAGCTCTAGGCGATGGCTCGTGAAAACTTGTGAATATTTTTATATCAAAACCATTAATGTATTTAAGTTTTTACAACATTCAACTCGGTTTTTGGCAGACAGTTGGCAGTTACCTGCATGTTTAAGTCGTGTTCTGATTTTGGGGTCTAGTTGGGCGTTTACTCTTATTATGTAAGTTTTGTGGTGGTGGTGGTGGTGTTTGGTTCTCTGAGCTCGGGTGTTTTTGTTGTGGAGGTGCTGAATTTGTAAATGCTCCTGTGGAGATAGCTATATCGGGCTTACTACCAGGCAACTTAACCAACGAATGAGTGAATATTTGCCAGAATGGTTTAAGAAGGGTCAGTCAAAAATACTACGCAGTTCGATCTTGGCACACCTGGTTAATAGTGGTCATATTGTAGATAAGTCTAGATCTTTTCGGGTGATCTATCGTATACCTCAATCATTTTCAAACGGAGTTCGATCCCATCTCCTAGATATAGCTGAAGCCATAGGAATTCGTACATTCAACCCCAATTTATGTGTTCAGAAGAAATTCGTCACACCCC